TAGGTGTATATGACTTTCTTCTTTCAGACGAATCCAGTCGGAGTTATATTAAAAATTGTCTTTGATCTTTCAAGCTGTGTTGCATGCATCAGTCCAAAATAAGTTAAATAAAAAGCATTGATTCGCTACAGGAGACCTTTGTTCACCCCCCGGAGCCGTGTGAGACACTTTTTTTATGGATGGGAGCTTTTTATTTAACTTATTTTGGACTGATGCATGCAACACAGCTTGAAAGATCAAAGACAATTTTTAATATAACTCCGACTGGATTCGTCTGAAAGAAGAAAGTCATATACACCTAGGATGACTTGAGGGTGAGTAATTTATAGACTAATTTTCATTTTTGGGTGAACTAACCCTTTAATATTACATGTTTACAATATATATTTACTATATATTCTACATATATTTTGGCCATGGGGAAAAATGTCTAATGGGATTGGGGGAAAAAAAACTTATGTAAAATATGTCTTGTACACACAATGAAGGCCAAAGCACATACCTTTGTGTGTGCAATGTGTCATATTAAGTAATAAAAGTTTTATTCTCTATGCTATTTCTCATTAGAGTCGCATTACTCCAATATAGTCATGAAAATCACCCATTCTCCAAACCTTTTCTAATTTACATCACATAAAATAAATACATTGCACCAAATAATACCATGATGTGTAGACCCATATCATTATTTATATTTGTTTCTTTATTGTAATGGGTGAAATGTGATTTTGCAATTTCCCTCTGCCAAACACATAATGGTCTTAAAATAGGCCTTTTTTCTTTGTGAAAAATATAATTTCTTTTGATTTTGGGGTGACATATGGCCTGGACATTCTTAATAACACTTTTATAAAGTACGTTTCTGTACTTCAAGTCACCTTCTGCATACATAATGACTATTAAAACACATACAAACTGAGCAGATGGAGTAAATCAGCAGGAAACTAATAAGCTTTCTGTGTCTAGACTGTTCACATCTAATGAGTATGAGGTCTTGAGAGCAGTGCTGTGCTGGCTGTACCTGCAGTTAAACCCCCTCAGACAGACCCTACCAGCCCACAGCACCATCATCACCTTCTTCTCCAAGTACGTATCCTCCTTTATGGCATTTACAGCTATCAGCAAAACACAATGCACGTGATCCATTAGTATAATTCCAGATAGTAAAAGCCCCATTTATGGAGGACATTACAATAATTCAGTACACTATTCGTTCTTTTTTTAATGACCTTGATACGGCTTAGCTAGTTCCATGCACATATGCTGTTTTAATGACATCCCTCCATCATATATCTGTCTGTTTCAGGGAAATGGCTGTTTTCTTGGAACAGCCTCAGGGTCAAAAATACATCACTATCTTTCAAGCCCTTCGTATGCATGGCATTACTGAATGTAAGTTTTGGTTGCTTCATGATAGATGCTCACAACATCACAAACTAACATTCTCTACAGCATTAGATTGGTCTTCAAAACCAAGCATACATCTTTGTCCCCAATCTCTGAATACTGTTATGCCTCATTGTTAGCTTAACTTAAAAAACAGACAGTTTGGCAGAATGAATGCGTATATCTCCACGAGAGTGTTTCCAGACAAACAGTACGTCCCAGCTACAGGATCACGTCATGGCCACAGTCAGAACCTCATCCACTTAAAAGGATAATTCATCAAAAAGGAACATTTGTTTGTTATACTCACCACCATGTCATTCAAACTTGCATGGACAAAAAAAGTGTTGTAGTGTCCAAGTGTCAAGAGATGTAAAAATGACAGAACATGTGGGGAAACCTGTTTGGAAACAGTTATTAGCACTGTTTGCTCATATGCAGAATCATGGATCTAAACAAACTCTTAACCCTACATACTAAGTAAGTACATAACTTATCCCGCACAAGATACAGGGATGAATGATACCTCATTTAATGAGGGGAATGTTGCAACTTAGCATCAAACTGTTTCATAATTCACATAAAAAAAACATAAATAAAACAAAGTTCTCTTCAACTAATGTTAAAGGAATAGTTCACCCAAAAATCAAAATTAGCTGAAAATGTACTTACTCTTGGGCCATCCAAGATGGAGTTTGTTTCTTCATCAAACAGATTTGGAGAAATTTTTGCATTACATCACTTGCTCACCAATGGACCCTCTGCAATGAATGGGTGCCATCAGAATGAGAGTCAAAACAGCTGATAAAAACATCACGGTAATCCACAAGTAATAACAAAACTCCAGTGAAGTGAAAAGATTCATGTTTATTATAAACAAATCTACCATTAAGATGTTTTTAACTTCAAACCATTACTTCCGGCTAAAATATAAGTCTTCTATCCATAATATTGCTTTCTCCAGTGAATCAGGAGAGAAATATGCACAGATCAACCACCATTTTTAAGCGAAAACACTCTAAAACTTTGTTCTTAACAAATATGTTGGTGGTTTTTAAGAGGACTGGTATTTTAGACAGAAGCAACGGATTGAAGTTAAGCTGCCTTAATGATGGATTTGTTTCAAACATGCAGCTATTTAATTGAACATTAAACGTTAATTGATTGACTTGAGTTGTGGTAATTACTTGTGGTTTATTGTGATGTTTTTTTTCAGCTGCTTGGACTGTCATTCTGACGGCACCCATTCATTGCCGAGGAATTGTTGAGCAAGTGATGTAATGCTAAATTGCTCCAAATCTGTTCTAATGAAGAGACAAAATCATCTACATGCTGAATGAATACATTTTCTGCAAAGTTTTATTTTTGGGTGAACTATTCCTTCAACCAAACACTATACTTGTTGGGAGAAGTAGCTTATCACTGGAAAAGCTACACTGTTTTGGAAATAACAGACATGTTCTTGCCTAAGTTAGAAGCATTGCTACTTTTAGTTTACTACCCAACACTACATTTGAGTTATGTTGTTTTTGTGTGTTCATGTCTCAGGGCAGCATCTGCAGGAGCTGCAAAACATCAGAGTTCTTCCTGAATCCTGGCTGCTGCACATCCTGTCCAATCATTACCACACTGTGAGTGTGTTTGTAGAGATCACAAACACAACACCTTATTCAACCCACCCGTCACTCCAGATGTACCGCCATACATAATTCACAAACTGCTTGTTTTAATATAAGTTGTATTGATTTTTTGGCTCCAAGTGAAAACTAGTTCATTAGCTGCAGGGTTTATCTGTATGTTTTTTCCATAGCTTTACAGCGGGGGCGACCTGGTATTGACTGACTTCTCCAAACAAGCTATCCGTTTTGGAATGATGTTTGATAGGGTGCGGTACACTTTCTGACACTTCAACACTGATGCATTATGGCCATTCCTGGAGCTTTTCAGTCCTTCAGTCACTTGCAATTACAGTTGTTACAATATGACAAAGTCAGTCCATGCTTTTTCTTTCATGCTCATGTTCTTTTACTTGCTTGTAAGGCAGTATTTTGTGTGTTGTTTTTCCTTGTGTCACCCACCGTCCAGGAACAAGTGTGCTGCACTCAAACCATCAGCATCTATGGCTTTTACTTTCTTCTCCAAGCTGCTAAAACGGGCGAATCAGATACATACAGCTTCTCCATTGAGGTTAGAGCATTCACAGCTTCATATACCCTTGTGAAAAAGAAGTGCGCATAATTGTATCAAATGTGCACTTGTAGTATACTTCAAACCTTTAAACTATATTTAAAAAATGTACATTGCAGATGATATAATGTTAATGAAATATAAGTCCATCAAAGTGTATTTAAAGAGAGGACACTTTTCATGACCAAGTCTCAACACACAAAGTGCACTTTGTTAAATGTGTCAAATTATAAGTTTTACTTATCATGCTTTAAAAAGTGCACTTATTTTGATGTGTTGACTAAGTACGTGATGTAGTGTGTTATTTGATATTACATTTAAAGTTAACATATTTGTGACTTCATTACAAATGTGTAATAACAAACATATTTATGGCATACAAGTTTCAATGGAAATTATGTGTAATTTATTTAGCCATAAATGCTTGCCAGTATATTTAGAAGTGCAGTTTAACCACATTTCAAAGACAATAAAAGCAATATATAGAGATGTACTTACTTAACTGGATCAAAAAGCACTCGGTCACACTTTATTTTAAGGCCCAATTCTCGCTAAACCATTAACTACGACTTTTGCATTAATGTACTCCTAGTTTTCTGCTTATTAATATTTAGTAAGGCAGTTGTTCAGTTTTAAGGTATTGGGTAGGATTAGGGATATAGAATATGGTCATGCAGTATATGTGCTTTATAATTAATAAACTAGCCAATATGCTAGTATAGGCATGCTAATAAGCAACTAGTTAATAGTGAGTTTTGGTCCCTATACTAAAATGTTTCCAAGCACTCTTAAAATCATTGTTTGCATTTAATATACATTTAAATTGTAATACATTTTAATAGTAAATAAATAACATGCAATTAAGAGTCTGAGAAATTACATTCAGCTTGTGCTTAAGTATTTTATTTTAAAGTAAATTATTACCATAATAAATTATCTTTTTAAAAGTATCCTAAAGTGTACTTCTTTTTCACAAGAATATGTCTAACAAGTTAGGACTTATTACGTCTTAAGTCTCCACCAGATGGCACTTTGAGATGGAGCTATCAATGTATTTCATTTATGTATTCAACTGGTGTTGTGTAAAGCAGTTCACCCACAATATTGTCATCACTCATGCATTCTTATGTCATTCAGCCAAAGCTGAATGATTTTTTTTTCCCCTAATGGAACAAACAAAAGCAGAAGAGTAATATCAAACTATAAAAAAGACAAAAAACTGCCATAAAAGTGGTTCATACATTAGCTGTATGTTAGAAATAGTCTGAAATTTACGTCTGGTTCTTGCATGTTTCATTATTGTAGTCAAACCTGCCTACGAGGCTTGACACAGCATTTTTAAATGTAGGCATGCATGAATTCCACAAAAGGAAAAGAAAAAAAGTCATACATTTTTTATCTTTTATATTTTGGGTGAACTCAGAGATTCCTCAGAACATATCTTCTCCCACCCTCCTTCTAACTGTCTCTCTCTCTCTCTCTCTCTCTCTCTGTGTGTAGAGGTTAAGACACTGGGATCCTGCTGTGTGCCAGTCTTCCATTGTGAGCCGTCCATACAGTGTGCGATCTGATCGATCAGTGCGCTATCAAATCACAGTGCAAAGCTATGCCAATGGCGAGTGGCAAGAGCACAGCAGTGGACCTGTCAATCAAGAGTTTGGCTTATGCAAACGCCGCTCTAGGAGCAAGGTACCAACACCCGGCGTTTAAAATAAAACAATGAAAACTAAAGACAGGATGATAATCTGTTTGAACACAATAATCTGAACAGTTTAAATTTAACAGTTACTGCTGACAGCCTAAAATAGAGATGAACAATCAGTATTTTAATATCGCTGCAATACCTTTTCATTAATTGTTTTTATTATTATTTTGATTTTAATGGCAAATAGCTTAAATAAAATATTTTATTATTATTATTATTATTATTATTATTATTATTATGTATTTTAGTTAATGTTTATTTCAAGTAACAAATTTGTATTTTATGGTTTTTGTTTTTGTTTTAGCTAACAATAATAATAGAAATAATAAAAGAATAACAATGTTTTTGTAGTTGCAGTATAGCAATTATTTATTTAATATAATTACTTAATTATTATCGTTTCAAAATGATCAGATGGTCGATCTGTAATGAATACAATACACTTTGACAGATGCTTCTTTATAAAAGTTACATTTTTCTTATTTGTCCTTTTTTAACAGCCGTTCCTGATTGAAGGACTTTCTTCTCCCATCCTGGTGACCTTTGCTCTGGCATTCCCATTTTGAGCTTGCATCTTGCCCCCTTTCCATAGTAAATATATTAATGGATTATACAGAATGGCAAAATGCTTTTGTGTTTTTCTTGTTCGTGTATGGTGGACACTATGTCTAATAACAGCTATATTGTACTATGAATTCCCATAGTCACTAAATTAGACATGAGCAATGCACATGCTCTATATTCTTGTTTAATTATTAATGATTTATTAAAAAAAAAAAAAAAAAAAGCACAGAATTGCTTATTATATCATCATATCAGGGATTTGAGTGCGGGCACTTTCACCAAAAAAAAATAAAAAATTCAGAACCATCTCTGAAAATAAATTATTTAAACAGCTGCTGGGCTTAAGAAAAACAAAAGGTTGTTTTTAACCCAGCATTTTTTAGAGTTCACAATTTAATGTGGGGAATAAAACGATGAAGCAGCTCTTTATTGTGCGTGCAGCAGTAAATGACTCTTTACTGCTGGTAAATATTATTTATATACATATAGCCATAATAGTATCAAAAAATAGTAACAAAATATTTTTGTGGAAAAAACTAAATTAACCCTCTAGTGCTGCTTTTTTTTTTTCATTTAACATTTTGCATTTTTGGGGGATTTTATGGTACTAAATTATATTTAAGGAATAGTTATTATCCATGTATTACATGTTATCTACTTTTTGAGGTTTGACCTGAAAAAAATTCCAACTTAAACTGTTTACTTAAAAGCATATTTGCTCCCCATTTATTTCCAATGCGGTCATCTGTCTATCTATCTGTCTATCAATCTGTCTGTCTGTCTGTCTGTCTGTATAAATAAGGACAGTTAAGGGTTAGAAACACTTCTGGGTATTTTTATTCATTTCCAGCTTAGGCAACAAAAATAACAGCATCCAAAATCCTCTGTAGCTTTAATTATTAATATAAAGTGGCCTCATTGCTGTACAAATAAATACAAAAATAAATAAATAGAATTAAAAAATAAAATTAAATGTAGTGCAGTCAATAAACAATGCTAAAGTAGCAGTGTAGATCTGAAAGTGTCTGAGAGTGAAGATAAAATGAACAAAGAAAGAAAGAAAGAAAATAGTTCTAATGCACTTTTTACTATTATTTATTATGCAGGGTTTTTTTCCCCCAGAAGTTCCTTTTTTTGTGCATATATTTGAAGTTCTTATTCTATATTAGATTTTACTTTATTTTATTTATTTTTTTTTTTATTTTTTTAACAGAAGATCTTGTTTTTTTATTTTTTTGGGCATACATTTTCTTATTTTAATTTTCTTAATATTTTTCTTGCACAGATTTATTTGATTATTTTATTTTATTTTTGCATGTACAGTTTGCATCCAGATTAATGTCTGAAACTTGTTGGAGCAAAAGCAGCTGGTGACAGTCTGCCGTGAACATTTCAGTCTTCATTCGTCTCTTCTTCTTCTTCTTCTTCTTCTTCTTCTTCTTGCTGCTTTTTTAGTTCTCAGAAAGTTTCCTCAAGGCATATTTCAATTCACGACCTTATGCACTGTTCTAAGCAATTTTAGTAGTGTTTCCACACTGAAAATTACAAACAGAAAAAGTGCACTTCAAATAGTGAGGTCTAAATAAGGTCAATTTAAACGCATTGCATTGTGAGATACAATATGTTGCCCAGTGTGCTCTGGTACTGCACATTTTGGCAAGCTCATCCATGTCTTCCATGCATACAGAAAGTTAGCATATATCATTTGCATATTATACTGTAAAATGAAACTTGAAAAAGAAAAATATCTTCTAAGGAGCAGCTATTGCACCATTAGCTGTTGTTTTTGAAGCTCATTTCTCATACCTAGATCTGTGGACTGCCGTCATTTGGCTCATGCAGCCTCAAAATAGTTTCCCTCCTCTTGAAGTGTGCTGCATTGCTATTGTTTTCAAGGGCTGCGAATTGAGGGAAGAGGAAGCATGTTTTGCGTGGTGCGCTCTGTGTTTTCACATGGGCAAACTGCCACTGAGGAAGCAAAGCTATCCTGATCACAATACATGCTGGAAAATGCTCAGCCGAGCAGTGCGGATATACAGCAGCCGTTCACAGACTACTGCATGACCCGCTGACCCCATGCAGGCTTTAAATAAAGTCACTCTGCTGCTCTGACCCTGTGACCCACGACTGGCTTCCCCTGACCCACATTTTAATTCGAAAGTGAATAGGAGAAAGCAGAAATACTTTTTGAATCTTACTAACTCGTCACCAAGAAGGTTCAGGAATTAGTAAAACGTAAAAAAAAAGAAAAGAAGATATTTTGAAGAATGTTGGTTACCAAACAGTGACTGGTAGCAATTGACTTATGCTGTGTTCATGCCATGTCGTAATTACCGTAATTCTGAGATGACAACACTGTTCAACTCAGTGCTGTTCACGTCCTCAGACTGGGGATTATCTGTTTCTATAAGGACAGTCAACAAAATGAACCCGCGTGAATGTTACTGGCAGCTGTAAAACACAACACAAATGCAAATGCATCATTATTACACTTTATAATTATTTCTTTAGGTTGTTATTACATGGATAGCCTAGATATCTGACTCTGCGCTGCATGTATTTCGTTTATGTTCACATTACTTTCGTATGAAGACATCTACATTGGCAAAAGTCAATTACAATTTTTATTTATATAAATGTATTATTTATATAAATTTATAACCTCCAATAGCCTTTGCTCAAATCTCAAACTTGCACCTAAACAATAAAACGCTGGGAAAGAGAGCATCCAGGGGGATTTCCCATAATACAGCACTGTTTCCTTCTCTTCAGTCACCTCCTAGAGCATTGAAAGGCATGAACTGGATATACCACACATTTAGTCCACAGTGTGAAAGTAAAAGCTCCAAAGCTTTAAAATACATTAGTAAAAAGTAAAAATACAATAAAAACTGTAATATAGTCATTCATTCCTGTGATGGCAAAGCTGAATTTTCAGCAGCCATTGCTCCATTCATTATTGTTTTTTTGTAACATTACAAATATCTTTAACTGTCACTTTTGATATGTTTAATGTGTCATTGCTGAATAAAAGTATTCCTTTCTTTTTGTTTTAAAAAATGGTACACATCCCTAGCTTTGGAATGGCAGTTTCCACAGAAATACAAAGCAGAACAATAATAATACAATGTTTCTTGAGCAACACATTATAATTATGATTATAATTTCAAGTCAGCATATTATAATGATTTCTGAATAACATCTAGCCTACGTGACTGCAGTAAAACTATTTGAAAAGTGGATCAAATATGACCTACACTTAATCACGCTGAACAACAGACATTCTTTTTATAACTACAAATCCCATCGTCCTTTTCTTTACATCCGGAAAAGAAGAGGCCTTTTCCGCCTTCAGTCGTAATTTTGTGAATCCCACTATGGTGAAGGTTTGGGTCATGAATATTAATTATATCCCTGACAGACGGCTATTTGATTGGCTGAATGCAGACATAGGAAGGTGGACGTTAATCTGCTGCCGAACAAGCCCGGGAGGGCTTGGCTCATGTTTATTAATACAGAAACGTGACTGGACGCTCTAGGAAGGTTGCCTAGCGACGTCAGCAGGAACTAATTAATATTCATGAGCTAACCCCTGGTCATAGTGGGATTCGCAATTCCGCTCTCCGCCCGTCAGCTGCGGGATAGGCAGACCGTCGGAAGTTTTGTGGGAGATGGGCTGGAAGTCCAGCACAGGCAGACCGAACACTGCTGCACAGGAGTTTCACAGCTGCTTATAAGTGTGTAAGTTATCTAAACATATACTAACGAGACATATCGTGGAGTATTAAACTTTGAATGCGTGTTATTGGTTGTGTTCAAATCAGTGACGTTAGTTACAGATGTACAGGGGCAGTTCACTAGCTCCCTTTATGCAAAACCTGTCGCTTCTGTTTCAGACAGCAGGTTACCGATCGAAACACATTAAATCATTTAAGTTAGTCTTGACATGTAAATCATTTTTGATCTCGCTCTCAGAAATGATAGATTGATTTTGTCTGAAGATATGGCATTGATGCGTTATGTCTGTACACAGCTGTAAAACCTAGTGCGCTGCCTAACTAGACAGCATTTTTGGACATTACAAGCATGAATGGAACGCACAAACGCGCCTGTGATGCTCGTAAATGCTGTAGAAGTACCTGTAATGTGGTGATATCATGGTACAACGATGCAGTGATGGTATCAGGTGACATGGCACTGAGATGAAAAAAATAACTATGGACTATGGTAGTACCATTGTGCTTATTTGGTTTGTTTGTTTGTTTTTGTTTGCTGGTGAAGTGAAGAGACAGATGTCAATCACTGTTTGGATCTAGAGTTCAAAGTGCCGCCCACTTTTTCAGTGGCCTTGGGTTTTTTGAGGTATAGAGAATCTTTCCCTTAGAGAATTTTAAATCTTTGTTCAAATATTATAGGCAATGAACCAAACCAACCAGCGGCAGAGTGAATCACTATGTTACAAACTAATTTGAAGCGAAAAGAAAGAAAACCTGACAAAAGACAATGGTACAAGACTGTGCACTTAATGGCTTTAATCATAATGGACATATATATAAAACTATTGATTTAGGGTAGAGATGCAAAACGTTTAATTACGATTAATCACATTCAAAATAAAACTTTGTGTTTACATACTACATGTGTGTGTGTGCTGTGTATATTTGTGACCCTGGACCACAAAACCAGTCATAAGGGTCTTTTTTTATTATTATTGAGGCTTATATAATATAAATAAATAAGCTTTCCATTGATGTGTGGTTTGTTAAGATAGGACAATATTTGGCAGAGATACAACTATTTGAACATCTTCTGAGGGTGCAAAAAAAAAATACAAATATTGAGAAAATCACGTTTAAAGTTGTCCAAATGAAGTCCTTAGCAATGCATATTACTAATCAAAAATTAAGTTTTGATATATTTACGGTAGGAAATTTACAAAATATCTTCATGGAACATGATCTTTACTTAATGTATAATAAGTATGTAACTTTTATGTTGAATGTGATTAATCGCGATTGATCTTTTTCCAGTCTTAATTTAGAGATGTGGATGATATAGAAACAGTATATTAACAATATATCAATTTATTTCAACGTTTCAAATTTCGGACA